TGTAATAATGCTTTTTGGGCTTCCTTTATAACCATGATGCTTTGCGAGGGAGGGGGTGAGAGTTTTTTTTGGCCRTGAGAGTGTTTAGTGGTGAGCGTGGTTTCGTGACATTAAAAAGCGTTGAGATTCTTCCAATTCGTCTTGTTACAGAGGGTTGAATCAAGGCTTGTTTAAAGGCCAGCACACACAAGGGAGCTTGCTCCCACAACACTCTCCTGCCTGACACGCTCCTGGGTAATCCTTGGTCGTTTTGCTAGAACAGTACACTTAAGGGAACTAAACGCTGAAGCAACTCGATCAGAGCATGGGAACTAGTTATAAATCCAACAAATAATTTGATTGGCCAACTGGAGACAGGTTGTTGTGCAGCAATAAAAGTTTCAGTACACATGAGGGAGCTTGCTCCCGAAACACGATTCTGCAACAGATTTGCTCCTCAAGCTTGCTCCATCATATTTAACCATTTTGATATGAGGGAGCAAAACCCGGCAGCAAAAGTTTTGTTGCACAACATTTTTTCCACATGAAATCGTTGGTACAGACGAAGGGAGCTTTGCTCTGGGAGCGTGTTGCGGCAGCGTGTTGTGGGAGCATGTTGCAGGAGCGTGTTGCGGCAGCGTATTGCTGGAGCAAGCTCCCTCACATGTGCTGGCCTTTAGATTAATACACCCTTGTAGCTTGGATGTAATTATTTTCCCAATTGAGACCATGTGTCATTCTCTTGAGTATAAGATTCTGTGTTTGAGAACATATATCCATATTCATGTGTCTTCTCATCTGCAACTGTTAAACAAAGAAATGATACTCAAGGGAATGGTATATATTTTGAATTCAATATCCAAATCAGTGTTAATAAGTCAGAATAACATACAGTCTTAAATGGGAAAACATAAATTATAACAAGGCAAAAGGGTTTATTACTGGGATAAATGGGCAGACAAAAGGTAAAGGCAAGGTCTAGTAATGAATAGATGGGTGAATGTGTGGATGATGACGAGGATGGAAAAAAGGGAAACATGAGTGAGTTGAAGGATAATTTTCAGATGCATGATTATTAAATATATTGATGGATGAATAGAAGGACAGGATGGTAAATAGATAGCCAAATATGAAAAGATGAATGGGACTGGATGAGAGGATAGGAGATGAGACAATTATGTGGAAAGACTGTACCATGCAGGTTTTCAGGCTTTCTTTTCGTTTTAGAAATCGTCAAGTATGATTTTCAGTCACAAAAAAGAAAAGTCTGCGAAGATTTCCATCACTGGATTCCCGTCAGAAGACGAACCATCCGCGAACTTGAAGAAATGAATCTCGACGAGATGACAGCAGCACTTGATGAACTCCACCGCAAGGCAAATATCGCAACAGCTGCGGGCGCATCAACTTCTGTACTTGCCACTGGCCTAGTTGTTGGTGGATTCATAGGTTCATTCTTCACATTTGGCGCCACAATCCCAATAATGATTGCGGGCGGAAGTATCGCGGCTGCCGGAGGACTTACCACTTTTGGCGCGAAAATGTCAGAAATTGTTGTGTCAAAGACAAATATCAATAAAGTGGAAGATGCTATCGCGGAGGATAAAGAAGAAAGCGAAAACCTGCGAAAGAGCATCGAAAAACTTAACAGGTTGATTGAAAGAAATGTTCAAAGGTAAAGATAAATATCTAGATTAATATCTAGGATAAAAAGACCGTTAGTTCCTTTCTTAATAGGACAAACCTTGGCCCATTTTTGTTCTTGATCAAACATGGAACAGCAAGATTGAAAGGGGTTTATCGGACAGGGCAGAAAAACGGTTTTTGGCCTTTTGCCATAAGGACAGCTTTACGTATTGAAGCTCTATTTTTTGTAAACAAGTTCTTTTAGAGCCAAATAATAAAATATCAAATGCGACCAAAATTTATTGAATGCGTATTTGAGATATAAAGCCGTGTACTTTGGGAGAGGTGATATTTTGATCAGCAGAAAAACTGACATTTTCGTGAATACTAAGTAGATTAACTCAGTTACAAATGAAACGCTTAAAAATTTAGAGTATTAAACTCAATTAAATTTTAAAAAATCGCGAAAGGAGAGGGCTTTTCGTTTTTCTACCCTGTCGGTTTATCGTTTATTGCTGGCTTTTGTAGGATCTTCGACAATAAAGAAGACCTCGATGAGCTCAGTGATGAAGCTTCGCCAGACGCCATTTTAAATGTCATGTCTCACTTTGAAGATATAACTGGTATGAGGATAATGGAAACAGACCAGCTACACCCAGTGAAAAGCAGCGCTCGAGCCGTTGGTGCCGTTCTCGCGGCCACGTCGTCAGGCGTCACTGCCGGCACTGCAGGCGCGCGTATCGGTACAGCGGTATTTGACACCTTGTCAGTCGCAAGTCGAGCTACTCATGTTGCAGGTTTTGTGGCCAGTGTTCTATCCTTACCAATTGATGCGTACTTCTTGGTGACTTCGGTGCGTGCGCTGAGAAACAGATCTCCATCGGAGGTGGCGGAGAAGATACGCGACATTCAAAACAAGATGGTTTGTCCGTTAGAGTCTGAAATTCATTTGCTTATAGAAGAGTACGTCAAGTCGAAGGTGGCAGAAGTAGTGAATGCTCATTTTGAAGGCAAACCTCGCGAGGAATTTGAGATGTTGGATGATATCGATACACTGTTAGCAAACGATGAGCTGAACAATGCCGGAACCCTAAGCTTTGATTGCCAGTCCAACAACACTTTGTAGACAAAAGTACGTCCTGGCCTGTGTCGCGGTATAAAGAATAAACAGTGGCAACAGGGAAATCAGGCAATACACAGCCATTAATCACATAAGTTGTTCGCTACATTTACATATTCTGATTAACAGTAGTGTATTGACAAATTTCTCTGCGCGACAATTATCTCGATCAGCGCGTAGCCCGGCATGACAACAGTGGTAGGAGTTGTCCTTATCCATAACGATCGACGCTACATGTAATTAATAATAATAAGTTATTAGTCTAAATATTGCGAACCGATTGTCAGACATACAAATCGTTTTGTGCATTTCAGCACGTTTTTAAGAATTTTTAGAGTTTGAGTGAGAAAATAAATGTTTGTTTTCTCCGAGTATACAAAACATTTCGCGAGTTTACTTTTGTCAGACCAAGATTCTGTATTAACAAACAAAAGTTGAAAGAATTAGCCTTAAATTTCAAGAATGGACACTAAGTTTTGGCATTTTGTGAAGTGCATATTTGAAAGTCAAATTTACATATGTTTTTACCAATTTGCATACGGATTCATAGCATGCGCAGACGTTTTTCACTTGTGTCTAGGCACCCAATAATTTAACATATTAATAATCAAGGGGAATGAAACATGTTTGTAAGAGGTTTTTAAAACTATTGGGACTATTGTATAGGAATTTAAAATAAATCTTACAATGTAAATTTGTTCCCGCATAGTTTATCTGCTTATCTTGAGCCTGCAAAAAAGCAGGCGAACTTGTGGGGGAAAGCCGGTTTTTTTGGGGGAAACCTTAGAAATTTGGTGGAACGAGCGAGATTGCTAGCTCCCATTTTTCTCGCGGGCACGTAGTTGAAACAGCAACCTCCGAAACACCGATTAGGCTCAGGTCAAACGTCGAACTTCGCATGAGCCGAACCTAATCACGACAAAGAAGACCGCTTTTTTATTCATTGTTTCAATTAGGTTCGGCTCATTTGAAGTTCGACGTTTGACCTGAGCCTTATTCTTCGCCAAACCCACAAGATTAGATTAAATTGAATTAAAATAAACCAATTAGATAATAACAATCATGTTTGGGTGTGCGTGGCTGTCGAAATAGTAAAAACTTTCGAGTCTACAGCCACATTAAATAGTAAATTTACAAGTGCTAGTGGACAAGACGGCAGATGATCTATTTACAAGTTTATCTGAATAATTAATGTTTAACTAGGTAAATATATAAATATATTCCTTTTATATACCATATATCCCCAATATTTTCATTTAATCTTGATCCTTAACCCCAGCATGCAAGCGTGTAAGCATCAGATTTGATCTCTGCCTTTTTAACCGCATTTGATATCTGTGTTTGTTTCTTCAATGCCAAATTCAGGCACAGTCACAGACTTGTCTTATGATAGATCAATCGTAACATTGTCATCATTGGCAAAAGAACGCTACAATGGCTACAGGTAAAAGAATAATAAACAAGGATAGAGCACTCAGGCTGTTTGAACCAGAACCCGTATTATTGTTGTCCACTGGTTTGACAGTTTTCGTTCTTGTTACTGGGTTTGTTGGACCTGAAAAAATCACAACATTGTAGTGATAATGTGACTCAAACAAGATTTTAGTGCGTCCAGGGGGGAGGGGGTAAATAAAGCTTTGTTACAGTACTATTGATGTCGATTGATATTAACAGCTCACCACAAGAGAATATAACAAAAGAAGAATTAAGACGGCACACCGATCACCTTTACCCATAAAGAAAGACAAACACACGAAACTCTGTCGTCTTTCGGTTTTGTTTTGCACCCTGGCAAGATGGCCGCCGTATCGTCGAAGTATAGTCCACTACAGACAGATGGACGTACACACAGACGGATGGACAGATGAATGAATGAATGGATGAATGGAAGTATGGCATAGTTACCTATTATAATGATATTTATAACTTTTGATATATCAGTGTTTCCGTTTGAGTCCGCTACTCCATTGTTTGCGCGACACTCGTAAGGTCCGCCTGACCCTTGGACAGCGGTAAAAGTGTATCTAGCGGCTCCAAGATTGGGTGTTATTGGCTGGGGAGATAATATGGAGAGCAATCAAATTTGAATAGATAAAAAAAGACTTGATGTACGACGTCACGTGATAGTATTTTTACAAATCGTTTACAGAGTTGCTTTTACCTGTGGAAGAAAACCGAACGGGGTGCTCAATTTAGAACCAAATCTTTACTTTTATGAGTCTTTGATTCTGGTACTATATTATGCAAAATAAAACCTACGATATATATGTCTGCCACATTCGTCCATACAATAATTAAAAAGACAATAGCAGAGGGGATCCAGGGTTATCCCGTCATGCATTGCGAGTGAGATAATGTGAAGTGTATGAACTGTCACGCTTTGACTAAGTTTGTTGTGTGACATAATTTAGTATAGTATCAAGTGACATGTATAATAGAGATAAGAGACATAAGAGAGAACACGTGTAAGCGCAAGAAACGAGTATCAAGCTCTAACAGTGAATAAAGGATTTTACTGCTGTATTTGTATCTGGAGTCAGATTGGAACTTGTATCAATAACATTTTCCCTCTTAAACTGCTAAATTAATATTTTCGAAATTTAAAAGAATCAATTGTAGTTAATTCGAGTGCAATGTCACCCTTTCAACAAGTTAAGAGATACTCGTCAAAATACTGGAGTACCTTGGAGTACTTTCAGGTTCAGTACATATCCTACAACTGGCTACTTTTATTTTACAAATTAGATACTCGTCAAAATACTGGAGTACCTTGAAGTACTTTCAGGTTCAGTACATATCCTACAACTGAATACTTTTATTTTATATATTAGTCGAACATGTCTTCATCAAATGCTAGAACAACACCTTCAAGGGCGGATCCAGGGGGGCAAAGGGGGGCTGAAGCCCACCCCCCCCCCCACCCCTTCAGCAGTTTTCCGTTGTGTTGACGGAAGAAACTCAATTAGCCCCCCCCCCCCAATTTTGGCTGGATCCACCCTTGACCTTAGCATTCTTTTTGTAAATGATTAATAATCAAATTACATTTACCGAGAAAGTCGCTGCTTCTTGCCCTTCTATGAATACTCCATTTCTGTACAGTTTGACTACTGGTGTTGGATCTCCCTCAGCGACGCAGTCGATCGTAACACTGCTTCCTAATGTTACTTCTTTTTGTGGATCAAGCCTTATTTCTGGTGCTTCTAAAGCAAAACAAAAACACGCACACTTTAAACTTACTATTTTTACCTTAGATTATTCATCAAGCATTATTTCTGGTGCTTCTATAATAAAGGAATACAATGGAAGTTCCTTGTTACCCTTTATTAAAAAATTATAAAACTCTCTAAAGCTCGATAGCTGTAATGGGAAGAGCGAATGGTATATTTCGTAGTATCAAATAAAA